CAAATCTTAAACTCAATTTCTGATATCACTTTAAACTATAATCATCTGTAGGTATTATTCGTCAAAAACTGACCTTATTTAGGGCAGTTTTAGAAACTAGGAAGAGTTAATAATAATGATAATAATAATAATATATTTCTGCATGAGCAGGTACACGCCATTTTTACAGGTATGACCTATAAATTACAACATTTGTTGGCGCACAGCATGCTTCCCAACTTATTAAGTTTATAGTTTTTACAAAGTAGACTCGTAGAGCACTTGCTGCAAACCATGGCCTTGAGGAGACGTGTAGGTCAAGTTTGTTCCAGACGTCAGAAGTTCCATTGCTGTGCCCTCAGAGCAAGATTCTCAAGAAAGAAAAGAGAAACAGAAAAGCAACAAGGCACATGGATATGAACGCCAAACGTTGCTTAACATTGTGTAATAGAACAGACAGAGGTATAATAGATTAGATTAAATTCATATTATCTCTTGTTAGAGTGAAATGAAGTCAGAGGCTCTATATAAGAGAATGTAGTAATAAAGAACAATGAGTTGTGATGTTTAACAAGTTGGAGGAAGGAAGGTCAAGGTTGGTACAAAGAAAGCGGTTTATTAGAAGAGAGTGTGCATATAGAGGGTGAAGTGTTAGGGATACTAACGACTATGTCTTTTATTATCTAATTTTTTTTCTTTTCTTTTTTTGTCCATCTGATGCCAGCCACACAATCTTAGTGTAAAAGTCCGAGTTAGCATGTTATAGATTGTCTTAGTAGAATAGATAATCCAGCACAAATTTGGTAATGAGTCTTAGTGGTGAGCGTAGGAAGACAATCTATATCACAGATTGATCGACTTATTCTCAAGCATAAAGAGCCTGATAGACACAAAATGTTTTGCCCCACAAACACGGGTGGATTGAAGTCATCGCCCTCACCATCAAAGCTTGCTGGTCAGTAACTCCACCCTCCCTCCTGTTGTGATTTTAGACTCATTTAAGCTTATTTTTGGATATATGTCATACTTCACACAATCCTCTGTGTTTCAAATCCTGTTGAAAAACACTATTTCTATAAGTACCACTTTGCAAGCTTATCAGGCAGTTACAAGTCATGGACTATGGGTAAGGCATCCATACAGTGCTTTAATTAGCCATAGTATAAAGTATAGTTTGCCAATTAGAGTATAAGCATTAAGAAAGGTATATTGTAGGATAGTTGTTTGTTAAAGCAGGAGGAAAAGTATAGAAGTATGTGAATTGTAGATAAGGAAACGAGTGGGGAAATAATACTTATCGCTGGTCAACATAGTGTACAGAAGAGTAAGAAGCTAATAAAAAATAGACAGGAATGTACTCACACTAACTTGGTTCTGATGTTATTTTGTGTTGTCCTAACCAGTCGATGGGTAACAGGCTCCATAGATGCAAGACCACTGGTAGTAGGCAGTCGATTGTGCGGTTCTCTTGATTTTTTAGGGTGGTAGTGAATGTCCCTTAGCGACCGAGTTTAGTTTAACAGTATCGATAGGTCCAGTGAGTTACCTGTCTAATTCAAATGAAGAAATAGGGTGGAAAAAGTAGCTGATACAACTGCAAAGTAGGAAAAATAAGGCAAACTGAACTCGAAGTTCATTTTGGTCTAGACATGGAGAGAGCCTATGATGTCTGAGTGGGGCGCAGCTGTGTTCGTACGTGCAAGATCAGTGCAAGTGGGTGCTTGATGAAGCAGTTTTACAAACGTATGTAATTCATCTGCCATATGAATTTCTGAGGGAAGACTGTTCCATATTATTGCATATTTGGTGAGGAAGAAGTTTTCTCGAGTTTTTGATTTGTATTTCTCAACTTTGGTGGTAGATACTTTGTTTCGAAGTTAGTATTCATGTGAATCTCGTGAAAGAATTGTCTCACATGTTGAATAAGTAAGGTTTTTGAGTAGTTTGAAGCAGAGAATCAAATTAGACCTAAGCCTTCTCTCCCAAAGGGGTGCTATTCCTAAGATTTGGCATCGGGAACTGTAGTTAATGAGTTAGTCAGTCTTAAGTACTTTGCGGGTGAAGTCTCGTCGTATTCCTTCCACCTTAATATATCAAATAGGCGTAGGTTGAAAAGTAAGAACGAGCAGTATTCAAAGATTGGTCTTACACAGACTTTATAAAGAAGGATTTTAGATTCGTCTTGATAAAATTTACGGAGAATGAAGCCAAGCAATTTCCGCATTTTAGATGCTGTGGCTGAGATGTGTTCAGAGAAATTAAGACTGTCTGAGTAATTTACCCCTAGGTCAGTTACTGATGCCAGTCTGGACAGTGTGTGGTTGTTAAGTGTTAGTTTTATTTTAAGAGACGTGTCTCCTATACATAACCAGCCGCATTTCTCTGTGTTGAGCTCTAACCTTCAGCGTTTGCACTAGTCGTCTACCATGTTGAGTTCATATTGGATTGTTTGCATAGTACTGCGTACATCGCAAATGTCAGTTTTATAGACGACTTTTAAGTAATCGGCACAGAGGTAGGTCTTACCTGTACTAAAGCACTTGCATATATTGTTGATGTAGATTATAAAGAGCATTGAAATTAAGAAACTACCCTGCACAACACTACTGGATATTGGTCGAGGTGTAGATGTGTACAGTTAATCTTGGTTATTTGGTACCTGTTCGTAAGAAAATACTTGATCCATTGCAAAAGAGGATTTATAATTCCAAATGACTTAAGCCTGTTGATTAGGAGGTTATTAGGTATTTTATCAAAGGCTTTCTTAATATAGACGTATAGTATAACAACTAGTTTCTTCTGGTCACGTATACGAGTAATCTCGTTAAAGAAGTCTATCATACATGTACTGTACGACCTTGTTCTAGTGAAGCCGTGCTGTGGCCATACTAGGGTTCAAACAAAGAACCTTTAGGTCTTGTAGCATCCATTAATCTTCCTACCATTATTTTACAATTTCAAATGTGAAATATAGTCATAAACATCCATTATCATTAGTAATCACTGATTCACTCCTTACATATTTGAACTCTGTAATCATCAAATGAACAACTGTATAGTCTTTGTTTATTCTAATATTATATTGAATGGGATTAGGTGAAAATATTATATTTGACTTAGAGACCCATGAAAATCAACTGAATCAATACTATACACCATATCAAAAACTCGATAAAATCATTCGAAATGAAATGTACGCCATATTTTTTTATGTATTCTGTCTTTTATAGTCGAGTTACTAGAATGTTCACCTTTATTTTTCAGTAAAATATCCAGTGTATATATGATCATACAATTTTAGTCAATTTTTTTTCTCTAAAAATCAATCTACGCGTTGTGAACGATATATTGTCTAAAAAATCCATAAATGGAACTTAATCCTGATTGCTTATTTATTGACATATATGATTTAACTTTCCGTGAATTGATCTCAAGTTAATAGAAAACTTGTATTAACTTAGTTTCGTTAATTAATCACCTTTGTAAACGTTATTATATAAATCTCAATGGTATTTACAATCAGAAGGCAATAAGAAGCAGCGACTGCAGTTTACTATTGGATAGCGTGGATAAAAAAGCTACAATCACGTCGAGCAAATTTGAAGCAGAGAGGCGAATGTGTGTGTGTGTGTGCGAATACAGAGGTGAATTTATAGTTACATCGAATAAGGGCGCATCTAGGTATGGTAAAAGCTATAATGGGATTCGAGTAAATATATGCACAGGAAAGAGAATGATTCAACGAGCGATATTTAGGCTGTCAACATTTAAGTTAGAGAGAGATATGTCCATAGGCTGTCATGTGATCAAGCGTACACATTTGTACAGACAAGATAGTGATCATAATAGCCCAAATAAATAAACGAATTGTAAATGCTAGAATAGCATTATCTGTTATGTAAGTTATTAAGACGACTTAAAAAATTAACCGTAATCGGGATCGATTGTACGAGAGCAGCCGTACAGCCTACCTCCAAGACTGTCCAACCGGTCAACAAAGAGCACAGAAATCTGAGACGCACTTCAAACACGAAAAAATAGGTTCCTCGATCTGAGCGTACCCGAAAACCCGGTGAAATAATCATGGTTTGAGATTATTCTCTCATAATCATAAACCTTAAAGACAGCCCTGATCTTCCCCTCAGCCTGCAATACAGAATGATAGGATGCTCTGGTAAGAGTTGAACAAGATGCCCGAACTTCTCAAAATGGAGCCTTTGACGGCTTGGTCGGGGAGAGGACTATAAGCATTAACGTCACCTAAGACTACTTCGTGCAACGCTCATTAACGCCACCGATTAGAGGATGAAACCAGATGGCAATGTAAGAATCCTGCTTGCTATACCGTCTACTGAGTGCAACCTCATCTGGAACATTACTAAGGTATCTCACAGGAAGACAGGCTTTAGTACTAGATAAAGCTTATCGATAAATTTGTTTCCAATCCGAAAACCTTATTTTGTTATGCAGCCTCTCTTCGACAAGCCAAAATTGGAGTTTCCTGTGTGCTAGATCCTAATGGTTCAACCAACAACGACGGTGAAGCCGCTAACATTCTGGCTGAACAGTGCTCCCGGGCATTTCAACGGACTCACACTGACTATATTGATGAAAGGTTCATCTGCAACTCAGGAGGACTTTCAAAGGTGAACCTGATCACTGATTTGGTGTACCGGTTACCGCAGCGCCTAAAAAATGACGCTGCTCCTGGCCCGAATACGGTCCATTCTGATATACTGGTCGGAGCAGCCCTAATCTTGGCAAAACCGCTTATCGTGCTGTTCTCACATTCGCAGAACTGAGGCACATTACCAGCAATTTGGAAGCTGTACAACATCACACCAATTTTCAATGGAGGTCGACGCAACGAACCTTCGAGCCACCGACCAGTAGCACTTCTCTCTATGCCTTCAAAAATCATGGAGTTCCTGATATGCGATTGTATACACGACTATTTATCATCCATAAACTTTTCACTCCATTTTATGCAGTGTTTTTAATCATTTTGCTTAACATTTATAGCAACTTGATGCTCTGGTCGTAAATCTGATACTCTATGTTACGAATTACCTTATTTCCTGGTGCAAATTTTATGTTTCCTTGATTTGTTTTACAGTTACTTGCTGTAGATAGATTGAAAATTGAAGTTCGCCATCAATACTTAAAGTCTATAGGCTCGGGATTTGCATTTGGCGTAACCTTGTAGGTAACTGTCTGTTTGATATCGTAGTTATTTCTGTGTTTCACTAATACTAAACTATTAACTCTATTTTCAAGGGCTTACGTTTTTTATTGGTTGACAAATATTAACGGTTTCTTGTTTTCATTATTCGCTGCAAATCTCGGTAATATTGAGCACTGAGATTTGCATAACGAAATGAACTTGGGTTGATGAATCAGTAGGAAATTTCTTTTCTATAAGACAACTTCATGTGCCTTTTTATGCACTGTTTGCGGTCTCTAGCCATAATTACTTTCTGACAACTCCTTCAATTATTTCTCAATAGTGATTATTCGTCAGAAAATGGGATTTTAAAACGTTTGTCGATAATGAAGTAACTTTTGTATTGGCCAGAACAACCCAATAAATTCGAGGTGAGCCTGACTGTGATGGCCGGCCGTTTTTTTAGTTAAACTGTCTCAAGAGATCGCAAGTTGCATTTGCCAAATCGAGTATCGTTCAACTCGAGTAAGAATATGTCCACCGGATTTTGTTTTTCCCCATCTTTTCGATTAGTCTCTACCTGCAGATTTTCGGGTTGTCAGGCAATTACTGTCCACACCTAGGTACTTTGGTCTCATTGCTATTCCACTGTCATCAATTTTAGGATATGACAGTCAATTATTTTGAATCAGCATACTTCTTATAACTACTGGCAGATAAGTCAAATACACCGTAAAAATCTTTTTTGACTGTTTATTTGGGGGTAGAGTTTGCCATACAATCCTAAAATCTCCTTAAAGTTCAACAAGCGTTTGTCCTGGATACGGAGGATCCACCTAGGAGAGTTGGAAAACCCTGATTCCAAGCCAATGGTGCACATGGACTACAAGATCCTGAGAGAAAAAGAGGCGTATGAACTCATTGTTGGTCACCTGATATCATGAGGCTCCATCTCCTTACGTTGCTAAAGTGCCTTGTGGAATAGGCCTTTAGTTCAAAGGCTCGTGGTGTAGCCCCCTAAGAAAACCACCTGCTTCGGTCTGTGCACCCAGGCATTATCCTAGAGCTCATATAAATCTAATGGTTTATGTGGCGCGTATCTATTTGGTGCCTCCTTGTACCGATGTTTGTGTTTTAATAAGTACATAATAACTTGTTGGTTGTCACGGGAAAATAAATCAAAATTTTTCCAATTAATGCGGTTCGCCGCAGCGCTACAGATATTGAATTGTAGGCTCAGAAGATCCAATCCAGCGTTCATCCTAGGTTCGTATTCAGGACCAGTGTTCCAGCTAAAGTTTTTCTAAAAACCAGGTTGGATAGAATTTATAACTTTAAGTTTCTAACAAAAGGAATTCGGTTTAATAGAGTACAAAATATGCACCAGGGTGAATAAAATGACAACACTGAGAAGTCTATATAAGGAAAAACCATATGATAGCTACATAAATGAACAAAAGTAGTGTTGTCTAAAGATAAAGTTTAGTTAAAGACTGTCGAAGTAGACTTTGAAGTTGATTGTATTGGACTATTGGGGAGGGGCGGTAAGGTTATTGTTTCAGTCGCTGTGATCTTCATAAATTTAAATCTCATTTTTAATTTCAAGGTGGACCTTTTATTTTCAAATGCAACTCTTGCCTTTAAAAATAATGGTAGAAAATCCTACTTCATAATCGTCTTACCAATTTTATCTTGTGCTAATGTGATACGAAAACCTGTGTTGACGCACATTTATCTACGACTCTGTTGATTATGACTGACTAGCAAACCAGGATCACCACCAGCTCATACTCTGGAACATTCCTTATAACGGTTAAACCCCACTAAGTTGACTGAGCATTAGAACCCCATCTATGAGGTCTTGGTGAACCAATACACTTATCTTTTATTCCACTGCCCCTTGCCGTAACTTGACCGCCCCCACTTTTTCCGCCCATTGCTAGTACAAAAAATAATGTGTAGCGTGGGATTCTGTGGAACATCTGTGAAACCTATTCGTTATTTTTTCATGGTTGTCATTACAGATAGTTTATGAATAAATGGTTAATTATCTTTAGAAACATCCTCCGGTATTTTTTGCTTCATTTGTTCTCTGAGTAAATTCTATTTCGTACACGCCTAACTCCTCCCACTAATGCACCTAAAATATTTTTACTTTACAAACAACATGGCTAGGGAATTTTTTGCGAAGTTTTTAGGGATTCAGTTACATGGAATCCAGTAGTTGTGAATCATTACAATCGATAAGGTTTGAGGAGTACTTGATTTTAGTGAGTGAGAAGAGTGTTTCGATATTGTTACTTTCATATTGATGCTTTGTGGATGATAACATGGGGCTCATTGAGTCATTGTAAACATTTCAAAATTAAGATAATCAAAACACCATACAAGTCAACATACACTTGTGTCACTATAGTTTTAGTGCAGTTATTTCTTCTATTACCTGCCATTCGTCTTTATTTGTAACTGTTGTTTGCAAACGGATGATGCTAATAAGTATTCAAACTCATATTTCACATTAATCCAACGGTTTCCTAAGCTGTTTAGGAGTTTTATTTTTTTCAGTGAGACTGGATTTAAATTATAAGTTCAAGCTACTACTTAGTTGTTTAATGAATAACGTTTTAAACCCATGCGTATGTTATTGACTACTATTCTTGTTTTTTTTTTGCAGATTTTTTTTAAACAAATGCTCGTGTATACTACCTTTATTTGATTGACTACCTCGTTCCACATCAGTTTTATTGTCAATATTTTCACCATTTAGAAGTCTCCCACTCTGAAACACATAAATGTTTAGTCGCGTACCTTTAGCTGATGATTTTAACCATCTCGCGCTTTGTGCTCGTGCAACTTTATCTCACCAGGCTGAAAAAAAGATTCACTCAATTCTGAATTGTGGACAACTTTCATTCAGGAGTAATTTAGGTAACTCTAAGGATGAAATTATGCATATACAGCAAATTGTTACCAGTAATAATGGAAATATTAATCCTAGTATAATACCTACTAATAGTGGAAATAATACCATTACTGCTACTACTACTACTTCCAACAATAATGTCCAATCAAATCGATGTGTAACTGTACGTCATTCAACTAATTCTAATGAACGTGTAAAACGACATCATTGTACAGATTGTTCAAAATCGTTTCATCGTGCCAGTGATCTAGTTAAACATCGTCGTACTCATACAGGTGAAAAACCATTTGCTTGTATGCAATGTGGTCGAGCGTTTGCCGATTCAAGTAGTTTATCTGCGCATAAACGAATACACACTGGAGAACGTCCATATCATTGTTGTGATTGTGGCAAAAGTTTTTCCGTATCAAGTAGTCTGGTAAAACATAGACGAATACATACCGGTGAAAGACCGTATCGTTGTGAATTTTGCGGCAGATCATTTTCCGATAACAGTAGTTATAGCGCACATAAAAAACGTAGTCAGCGGTGTACACCTATTACCAGTAGTAATAACAACAATGCATTTAGTCTTGTTGGTAATGTAGGAGATTGTGAAAAAACAAAGTGTGAGGGTTGTGCTTTTCTCGATCCACATACACAAGCAGTTATACATCCTGCAGCGGCGGCAGCAGCTGCCGCTGTATCTGTTGAACACTTTTTAACGAATTCAAATATTGGTATGTCTAAAATAAATGGTGGTGAATTTTGTCCAACTTCTTTAAATTTAACATTTCCTAATCCACCAAATACGAATACTATGCCAGCTACAGCATTAACATGAATTACATTGAAAATTGTTGCATTTGACATAATAATGTATAAATATGATTTTAGTAGTACATATATAATGTTTACTTTTACCTTACTGAACCTATTAGAAATGGACACTTTTAATTCACTACGACAATCATTTGTGTTTTAAATTTCCAGTAATATCAACATATAAGTATTACCAGAACTAATACATTTGCTCATTTTTTCGCGATACGCTCATTTCATTTTTCGTAATTTACTCATCCTTTCAAACTGTGTCCACATGTTTTTGCTCTTTGTGGGAAATTATAAAAAAAATTATTGTGTGAGTGATGAATATGTTGTTTGAAGTTAAATATACTACTTACAAATAAGCATATGTATTTGCAAGTTGGTTTTCATGTCACTTTCATTGTTTATTAGAATATTATTACAGTTTTTCTTTGTTACGATTATATATCACCAAACATTATTCTGGTGTGTATACATCCTATTGTGTTTCTGATTTTTGATTTCTACAAGTTCTTATGCATAAATATTTATATGTTGCATAAGTATTATTTCAAATATCACTTATTGTTTTATCAGTTAATCGTTGGTTTTGTTCGAATTAACTTGTTATCTAATTCGCATCTCTTCGTGGTGGGATATACTTTGATAGACTAATATTCCTGTGGAATTTTCAGTAGCAACAGTATTTAGTTGAACTGTCAGATTCTTCTTAGTCATTATAATGACTGCAATTACCTGTATCAGTATTCATCATATCTTTATGGCTGATATGTCGAGAAAATAATACAGTTCTCTTTTCATTCGCTACGATAGTTCTACAAAATTACAGTGGGATAATCACAGGTATAAAATATATTGAGTGTGATTATCCAGTTAGAAGTCCCAAGTATATACAATACGACTTTTATTTGCTTCTACCGTTTAGTGCTAATTATGACCATAGACTACTGATTAATACTATACATAGTAAAAATTTAGTCATGACTTAACGTTTGAAAGTAATGCAAGAAGACACGGGTTTATATTTGTCTTAGACCGGAGTTTCCGATATCAGTCAGTCAGTCAGTCAGCTACAACGTAGGACCAGGCACATATGTGCATCGGTCCAGGTTGCCATACCTCATTAGCACAGCAAGATGAACACCGGATTCATAGGAGTGGTTAGGTCAAAGGTTGCAATAAGGATATAGTATAGGAAGAAAGAATTAGTTCGTAGACAGAAAGAATGAAGTGATTTTAGTCTCTTAGTTTAAGGGAAGACAGGGAGTGTATACACCGACGCCACTGTGATCGATTCTGAGCCATGTCACCAAGAGTCTCCAACCATTGGTTACGAAAGTCACGCGGACCCCAACCAAGTAGTCTGCATCTACCAACGTGGCTCAGACTAGAAGTTAGTGACTTCAGGCACTGATGCCACGTTTTGGTTTGGCCGCCCCTAACTTTCTTCCAACCATCCCCTACCCCGGTTAGCATTGCACGTCGTGGTAATCGGTGTTCAGGCATACGTAATACGTGGCCCAACCATCTCAGTCGATGAAGATTCATAACCTCATCAACTGATTTACCATCATTCCCTAATACCCTGCGTCTAACCTCACTATTACTTACCCGGTGATCCCAGCAGATGCCAGCAATATTTCTAAGGCATCTGTGGTCAAATACTAGTAGCTTACGGGTGTCTTCTACTCTTAAGGGCCATGTTTCGCTGCCGTAAATTAAAACAGAACGAACTGCCGCGCAGTATACTCGTCCTTTTATTGATAGACGGATATCTCGCCTTCGCCAAAGGTGACGCAAGTTGGCAAAAGCCAAACGAGCTTTTCGAATCCGTGCTGAGATTTCGTCCGATACCAACCCATTAGGGCTGATCAGACTTCCAAGATAAGTGAAGTTATCAACGCGTTCGACTACTTCACTCCCTATCCTTAGTTCAGGTGTTGACGCAGACCAGTCCTGAAGCAACAACTTGCATTTAGAGGGAGAGAAGCGCATCCCAAACATTCTGGCATTGTTGCTTAGTGCTACCAGAAGACTCTGCATTTTCTCAGCGTCTTCACCAAACAGGACTATGTCATCTGCGTATTCTAAGTCGATAAGTGGACCTCCTGGAAGGAGATCAATACCCGAGAATTCAGTCGACGAGAGTGTTATTTCCATCAATAGGTCTATGATGAAGTTAAACAAAAATGGAGAAAGTGGACAGCCTTGACGGACACCACTTGAGGTTGCAAAAGTAGATGACAGTTCGCCATAAGCCCTGACTCGACTAGTAGTGTTCGAGTAAAGAGCCTTCACAAGGTTTATGTACTTCTGAGGTACGCCTTTCAATGACAGACACTGCCACAGAGTCTCGCGGTCTACCGAGTCAAATGCTGCTTTTAAGTCAAGAAAGACCACCATCGTCGGACGCCGATAGGTATGCCTGTGTTCTAGAACCTGACGAATGGTGAATATGTGGTCGATGCAGCCACGACCAGGTCTAAAGCCAGCTTGGTTCTCTCGAGTTTGTAGTTCACGAGTCTTAGTTAGGCGTTTGATAATTATCGAGGCCAGTATTTTAGAAACTATGTTTGTTAAACTAATCCCTCTGTGGTTGTCACAGGATGATTTTGACCCTTTCTTATATATTGGGACGATAAGTGATTGCGACCAGTCAGATGGGATAAAGTCTAATTCCCAGATCTTAGCTAAAATATTAGTCAACTTAATCGCTAAAATTGGACCACCATCCTTAAAGACCTCTGGAGCCAATCCATCTGGACCAGCTGCCCTTCCTCGTTTCAGATTAACTATAGCCTTTTGAACTTCAGCAAGAGTAGGGGGACCTATTTCAATGTTCCATTCACACTGTCTGGGAATGGAGGGTAGTTGTAGAGTAGCTGAAGGCCAGCTGAACTGTTCTCTAAAATGTTCCGCCCATCGTTCTAAACGTCTGGACTGGGAGCAGATGAGAGTATCATCTTTTTCCGAAATAATCTCACTTACACTTGACTTACTAATTCCAGTTTCTTTTATTAGTCTGTAAAGCTGTCTTGTGTTCCCTATAGTCGCCGCCTTTTCCATCTCTTTTGCTTTCGTTACCCACCACTGCTCACGGTCGTTCTTTAGACTTTTTCTTAACCTAGATCTGATTTGTTTTCGCTCTTCATCATGTTCAGGACCTGATGGGACGAGTTTGCGAGAATCCATCAGTGTGACAGACCTTGAAGAAATCCACTGGTTCCTTGCAACTCTGTGGTTTAAGTCACTAATAGATGTCACTGCTGTTTCCACAGCTGATTGTATGCCCTTCCAAGCAACATCTGGGTCAGCCTCGTCTTCACAACTACCTAAGTGTGACCTCAGTTGTTCCTGGAACCTACTTTTGGTTTTCTCGTTACTCAAATCAGTTCTAACGGGTCTTTTTAATGTGGCTTTTTTGCGTCCAGTGAGGCGCAAGCAGATGCGTGCCCGTATTAGGGCATGGTCGGAGTCCAAGCAGGTACTCCAGAATGAGCGACAATCTTCTACCGACCCTCTCCAACGATGACTGATGGCAATATGGTCTATTTGAGTCCATCGTTGGTTTGGTGTAGGGGGTCGCCATGTTAGACGATGTCTCTCCTTATGCTTAAAATTTGTGTTTGCTAAAAATAAACGATTGTCTGAACATAGCTGCAGCAGACGCTCACTGTTGTCTGTTCGCTGTGTCGGAATACTAAAATATCCACCTAAATGCCTTTCTGTTTGGTTTAAACTGCCTATCTGAGCATTAAAATCACCTGCTACGAGTACTATGTCTGAGCGTTTAGCTTTCTGAAGAAGTTCGGACAGCTTTCTGTAAAATTCATCTTTCACATCATCTGAGCTGCAGTCAGTGGGAGCGTATGCAGAAACGACAAAAAGGCAACGACGTGTGTCCCTATCCTTCCGAGTTCTTACGTAGCCGTTCAGCCGAACAGCACATAGACGACTGTTGACGGGGATCCACTCTAGCAGTGCTTGTTCGGCCCTCATGCTTAGTGCTATGCCTACACCTGCCAGTCCACGAGAACTTGCCATCGGGTCACCAGATACACGAAGGGTGTACCTCGTTGGCTCTCCGTTTTGCCGAGGTGAGGTCAGGTGAATGACCACACTGGAATCCTGTATGCGTGTTTCGGAGACACAGCACACGTCAATGGTAAGAGACTCTAGGGTTTTAGCCAAGGAAGCCTGCTGACCAATTTGACATAGGGTTCGTACGTTGAAGGCTCCAATGTGTAGTTTGGAGCGAGGTTTCAGTAGACCTGGGACAGTATTTTGCGCACTAGAATCGTTGGCTATGGTGACACTTGAGGTGGAAGCCGAGAGAGGAAATTTAAAGTTGAAAGTCGATGTAGGAGGAATAATAGGAATTGAAGAGGAAGGTTGATTATGAATACAGTGGTCTTGAGTGCTGTTAGAGGTATGAGGGCGGTTTTCACTTCCCGGTTGCCCACACCGTGGAAGGGTTGTTCTGGAGGTACCTGAAAAGGAATTTGGATTAAAGGTGGTCTTAGTGACCTGAGAGCGTGACCGCAGTGCCCAAGGGACAACTGCTTGAGGTCGGTCACACACGACCTTGTTATGGGCAATTTTTGTGTTAGCTCCGTACTTATTGGGACCTTACCGCCGGAGACGGATATCCGTGGGATAAGGCGAGGTGTGCATTTTTAGGGTCGACCTTTTCTAACCCCACCCCTCCTTGTGGGAAGGCAGCATCGCTGTCATGCTGGTTGTCTGAAGGAAACACCTTACTGCTGTCACACCTCTGTACAGTCAGCAGTACGACTTCGCCTTCGGACCTTGGGTTCGTTGCTTTTAGTCTTACCGCTCTTCAACCGACCTGTCTGACATGGTAGGACCTTGAGGAACGGTTGTTCCAGCCAGTATAGCTCGGTTGCGGAGTTTCCGATATAGAGATAGACGAGCTGAAGCTTCAAATTTGTGTCGAGTTTAAGTAAGCGAAAAACGTACCAGTTGTTTGGTCTTATATTTAATGTACTTTGCTGAAAAATTACGCTACCTATATGTTTTACTATTCGCTCTATAGAATACAATAAATAGTAATTAATAGAATTCGACCACTGCTCAAGCATAGACAACATAAGATTTCTAACAACTTATTTACATATTAGGGTGTTTGCATCTCAATCCTAAAAATGGTGGACGGGAATGGCATAATGGGCTCATTGGTAAGATCTCTAATTGATTTCTACACTGCTTATCTACTCTGACCATCGAACATAATCTGATTCTTATATTGTTTCGCTAAGGTGATTTTTAGAGTAAAATTGCGTCATAGATAAATAAATACTTGCCAGTGTTTCAAAATAAACATGAATGAAAATATCATTTTTCAGGAGTGATGTGCACTCTAGATAACCTGCTTATTTCAGATCCATTTACAAGCGTTACTTGATAAAATTTGTTCAGATTATATTGATCGACTAACTCTACTGTCTTAAAACATTTGCCTTTATGGAACAGCTGAATATTCTGGAAACCAGTGGTAAATATTTACGGTTCTAGAACTCGTTCGTTTCACACTTATGTACGTATAACTGGGCACATAAAAAATGG